ATGGACCAGCCGAGGCTTAGCCACAGGCAAGCGAGGGGGCGAGAAAGGTTCCAGGACACTCAGCGGTAAATGCCAAAGGAGCATTGGACCTGTCTTCACGGACCTCGCCGTCAGAGTGAGTGACAGGGACGTGACTGGTGCTGGGAGAGCACAGGCTAGATAAGACCGCACGATTCCTGCCAGGACACCTGCCCCGGGGCCCTCTCGCAGCCACATTTCCACACGGCAGCCACAGGGAGCTTTCGAAACACACCTCTTCGCAGCTTAAAGCCCCTCTCTGGGGCCCCCATGGCCCTCAGGTGAAGCCCAGCTTGTGGATCCGTCACCAGAGGCCGTTTTGGGTTGTCCACCTCTACTTGTCCCTCTAGCCACTTGACTTGTCACTTTCACCTATATACTCGAGGCCCCCAAGAGCTCACCATCATTTCTAAAACCCACTCAGACCTTGTGCGCATTCTGTTCCTGCCGCCTGAAATGCCCCTCCCTACTTCTTTCTCACAATCAGCTCAGGAGTCACCTCCGCCTGGAAGCCCTCCATGCCTCTCCCCTGCAGAGGTAGCTATGCCCCACTGGAACTCCTCGTGGCATCCCAGGCCTCCTGGATGGTGCTTGCAACTCACTTCTATTCTCATTGGACTCAGAGCCTCTCCAGTGGGACACACAGGCTGGCACTGACCAGAACGTGGTATGTGTGGAATTAACAAAAGAAGCCCCGAGCTGGCCAGTCTCTGTCTCTACCTGGATCCCTTTTACCCACCCTTCTGAGGCCTGAGGACAAGGGCGTGCAGCCTGGTTGGGAACCAGAACAAGGGGTCTCATCTTGAAACTGCTGTGTTTGCAAAGCGAGGTCAGCTTTCCTACTCAGCGTTCACTTGGGGTGACTCAAGAGCTGGTAAGAAGAGGGCATAAAGCCTCCCCCCCCCCCCCCGTGAGCCACCCCGCGGTGCCACGGGGTATATACTGAATAGGGACCCTGCAGGCCAGGTTCAAACAATGGCTCTGACAGTCTGAGCCTCGAGCCAGCTGACAAGTCCCCTCCGTCCTGTGCCTAATTTGTCTTCTGGGGGGTATGACACACTCCCTACTTACAGAATCCCGGGTGTTACAGCCAATGTCCTTAAGAGATCAACCCTGCCCTGGCTGGTGTGACAGTGGATTGAACACTGGCCTGCGAACCGAAAGGTCGCCGGTTTGATTCCCACTCAGGGCACATGCCTAGGTTGTGGGCCAGGTTCCCAGTTGGGCGCATTCAAGAGGCAACCAATTGATGTAGCTCTCACATATTGATGTTTCTCCCCCTCTCTTTCTCCCTCCCTTCCCTTCTTTCTAAAAAATAAATAAATAAATAAAATCTTAAAAAAAAAAGAGAGATCAACCCTGATATAACAAAATTCCAAACGTTTTATTTTTCTATTTTGCCCAAACAGCATTAATTTAAAAAACACTCTCATCTACCAGCACCAATGTGTTTCCCCCATAGGTCATTTCAACCCTGTCAAAGTAACACTATAAATTCTAAATAGAAAGTGGTCCTTTATATTAAATCAATTCTCCTTTGGGGCGCCCTTTGTCCCACTCGGCTCCAGCATAAGAAAGGAGTCAGTACCGGCTGTGGTCACGGAGCAGAGGCCCCTCTGACCTGGCCTGGGCCTCCCTGGAGACCGAGGCACAGGGGGCAGCGCAGCTGGGGCCTGTGGGAGCAGGGAGTGGCAGCAGGTCTCCTGGCCGCCCCCCCCAGCACAGCCCCTTTCCCCCGCCCCCTACCGTGGGCAGAGGCGGCAGCTCTGGGCTTGCCCTAGACACTCCCAACTCAGCCATGCCCTCCTCGCCCAGGGCAGAATCTGCCAGAGAGCTCACCACCTTTAACCAATGCGGTCAGTTCCTCAGCTCTTGCTGTCAATAATGGCCTGACAGGTGTGGGTGGGTGGGTGGGTGTGTGTGTGTGTGTGTGTGTGTTGGGGGAGTGGGGTGCAGAGACCGAGGGGAGCTGAGACAGTCTCAGTCAAGAGACAAGGGGGTCCTAGAACCTGCTTCTACCCCAACAGGACCTGGGGGCTCAGGCGGCTCAGGTTCCAGGGTGGGCTCCAGGCCCTGGAGTTTACATGGTTTGGGGATCCTCTTTCAGAAAAATTTTTTAACAAATTTTACAAAATTATGAGCCTATGGCACACATTGCTGCCCACCCCCCGCCCCCAGGGCTGCAGGAGGCGGCCAGGCAACACAGGAGTCCTTGACAGAGCAGCGATCCGGCGTGCTCTGCCTGCAACCGCGGGGCTCCCAGGACATGGCGCTTTCTGAAGCTGGGACGGTTCTGGCAAACGTGGGTGGACTGGTCCTCCTGGTCCTCGGTCCGCCTGCCAGAGCCCCCACCTGTGTGCTGAGGTGGCAGGAGGGCGCGGGGCACGCTCCCCAACATGTCGAAACGTCTCAGGGTGTCACTTAGCTTTGAAAAAGACTGCAAGGAGACCGCAGCCCTCCCCAAGTGGGGGGATCTCACATGATTCCCCCCCAAATTTTTTTTGTGGTAAAATCCACATAACATAAAATTTACCACATTAATCATTTTTAAGTGTACAGTTCAGGGATACAGTGATATAAAGTACATTTATGTTGTTATGCAACCATCTCAGGTGATTTTTATATTTTCCAATAACTGACAGGTATCATTACTTTTATGATCAGAAAAAACTCCTGTATTTTATCTATTAACTTATTTTTTAGAGAGAGGCAAGAGGAGGGAGAGGAACATCGATGTGAGAGAAACACCAGCTGGCTGTCTTCTGTACACCCCTGGACCAGGGATCGAACCCACAAACTAGGCATGTGCCCTGACCAGGAAGTAAGCCCGCAACCTTTCGGTTTGCAGGATGACGCCCAACCCACTGAGCCATGCTGGCCGGGGCAAACCCCTATGTTTTAAAGGTACAGAGGATGGGGGGGCTATGGGGGCAGGAAGATTTGGGGTCGAATTCTCTATCTGCCACTTACATGCTCAATAACCGTGGACTTCTCTGAGCCTCAGTTTCTTCAAGTGGGACACAGGCTGTTGGGGGAACTAGCTGGGTAATGGTGGCAGGGCCTCGCCTACACTGGGGACTCAGTCAAAGTTACTTTTCCTTCCTCCTGTGTGGAACATCTTCCCTGACCCCAATGTGCACGTTTATAAACTCACCTCATCCTTCCAGGCCCAAAGCGACGTCACTTTCCCCATGAAGTCGCTCTGATTCCCAGGGCAGGCAGGAGACCCCTCTCCTGGCTCTCACCCCCTCTGACTGGGGGTGCCTGGCTTGCTCCGCAGTGGGACTGAGGGCTGCGTCTGAGTCACTCTGCCTTCCCTTGGGGCCCAGCAGACTCAACAAACCTTTGCTAAATGAAGCCCTCACAGGCAGAAGTGACCCGAGTGGCCAAACTGCCCACGCCTCCTCACAAAGCCGGTGGCTTCGTCCTCCCAGGCCAGTGGCCCAGGAGCTGACAAGGGAAGCGACGCTCCCGATCAGGCAGCTGGCGCCCAGAGCTCTACCTTTGCCAAGAGCCTGTTGGGTCTCTGGGGAGCTGGAGGCTGGCACCGACGAAGGAATTCAGTGCCACAAACCCTCTTGGATGTGCCAGGGGTGCCGGGCCTTGTGCCAGCTCTGGGGACCCAAAGACTAACAGAATCGGGCTTCTCTGCCCTCAAAGAACTCCCCACATGGTGGGCACCCTTCTCGTGACACCAGGAGGCTTTAATGGTTTTAGACAAACAAACAAACAAACAAACAAACAAACAAACAAAAAAAGGCAGCTCCATCAGACCCTAATACAGCCCTGAAAACCCAGGAAATGAGGGAGTTTGAGCACCCTGAGGTCTCAGCTGGCTTTAGATGGAGCCTCCTGGAGCCACCAACAGCGCCACTGACCCCCATTCCCAAACCAGGACCTTCTGGTCTGGGTGCACAGGAACTCGCCCCAGGCCCGTGGTGGCAGGACCCTCCAGGCGGGTGCCTGGGCATGGCCAGCCAACCCTCAGGGCCCCAGGCCCCTCCTCCCCAGACACAGCAGGCCTTCTTTCCCTGGGGAGCTGCCAGGCCCACGTGAACCCTCCCCCTGGTCCCATCCTCCTCTCTCCTACCCCAGGTTTGAACAGGGGCCCCACTCAGACCTCGGCACTGGGGTACTCTGCCCCCCACCAGGCTGGACGTCCAGAACAGGTCTTTCTGTTTTTCACTGTGGGGAGGGGACCTTTCCTCGGGCCTCCCAACCCCCACAGGCATCCAGGTGTATGCCGTGGGTGGGGGGGGGGTGCTGTCACAGATTCATGAAATATCAGAGCTCAAGGAGGCCTCAAGGAGGCTCCTCCCACTTCTCTACAAATCAGGAAACTGAGGCATGAGAGAGAAGGTGACGCTCCCACCTCAATATTTAACTCCTGGTTTTCCGTGAACATTTCTTGGGTGGTTTCCAGCCCAAGGTCACGCTGCGAAGGCGAGGCAGTTCCCCTGGCGGAAGCCAGGTATCTGGCTCGCGACGCATCGCTCCACACCGTCCCATAAAAACCGGGTTCCCTGTCCTCTCCTCTTTGAACGTCCACTGCAGGCGCAGCGTGCACCCCCGCGAGATGTTCCACGCCCTGATCCACCCCCCAAAAAAGGCCACTTGAAACCCGGGCTCCTTCCCCACGGTCGCCGGTCCGCCTAGGCAGCGGCGCGCAACCCGAGCCGCAAGCTGCAGGGCCGCAGCTTGGAGGTCACGGAGATAGGGGGGAGGGAAGCGCCCGAACTGGGGGCACTGAGACGTAAGGGCCCCAGGAGGGGCAGGGGCGCCCCCGCGAGCGTCGAGACACCCGCCTTCGGAGCTCCGGAAGGAGAGAGAGGCGGGCACCGACACCCCGCAGGACGGCTCCACGCCGGCTGCCGCGGCCCTTGTCTGGGGTCCGGTGGGGTCGGGGTCCACCCGGCGCGCCGCCGCCCTTGCCCGCGCCCCCACCCTACCCCGGCTTGGCCGGGTAACCCAGACGTCCTTACCCAGGACACGACGCGCAGGATGGTGTGCGGCTGCCGTACCAGAGTGTGGGGGTCGAAGGCGCCCCCGGCTTTGCCCGCTCCGTACGCACCCCCTTCCATCGTGCCTGCACCCGCACGGTGCCCCCCGCTTGGCGCGCGCCGCCAGCCCGTGCGCGTGCGCGGCGCCCCCGCCCCGTCCCCTGCTCGTGGGGCCGGCGCGGCCGGCGTGGCCCAGCGCTCCCGCGAGGGGGCGTTGTGCGCGGAGGGCGTGGGCCGCCGTGGGCGGGCCGCGCGCGCCCTCGTGCGCCGGGCGCGTCTGCTGCGGACCCTGTGGAGAGCGTGCTTGTCGCTAGCTTGGTGACCTCTTTGGGAAATTGGGAGTTGGGGGAGGAAGGTGTGTGCAGCGAATGCAGGATGTGTCCCTGTCGCCGGGCTGCAGGTCTACGTGGCTGCTTTGCCTCCAGCACAGTCCGTCCGAGCCTGAGGCTCCGGCTGAATGCATCTTCGTTGTTTATTGGCTTGTTTCCTGGCGCTCTGTCTACCTCCAATACAGTGAGGCGGGGGGGGGGGGGGGGTCGGCGTTTGTCCTCCTCAGAGGGTGCTCGGCACACAGTAGGTGCCGCTTGAGATTTCGCGAAGGAGTGAGTGAACTACGACTGAATATGCTTTCTCTAAGAGCGCTCCAAAACAGCCCCACCCCTCCGGAAGACCTCCCACCTTGCTCTTACACTGACGTCATGCGGGTCCCTAAGTCTGCACACCTCCCACGCCCAGCCTAGACGGGTGAGACACTGGGCACAGAGGTGGAAGCTGAGGGAGAGCAATAAATCATTTAGGAGACTCCTCTACAACTCTCGTACCCTACCTCTTTCCTTAATCCAGTAATTAATTAGATAGTTATTTGTTCATTTTTTCCTCTGCAAGCCTGTGGGTTTTGTCTGTCTTGGTCACTGCTATAGCCAAGGCCGTGACACACGGTAGGAGCTCAAGAAACAGAACCTAGTTCCCATCACAGGTTAGGCCAGAGCTCCAGGTTTCGTGGAAACGGAGGCTGGATGGCGGAGTGCTCTCTGCAATGGAACGCACCACCATCCAGGTCTGGCCTTCTGAGGACTGCATGGTTTTGGGGGCTTCCCTATATGCCTCTGGTTACCTCCATTGGTCCCAGGAGCAGGTGATGACAGGACACCAGAGCAAATGTGTGGTGGGCGTGAGGGCACCTCTTGTAAACATTGCAGAGGCCGATGTCCATCTTCGGCTCTGTATTGAGTGCTAACTCCGTGCCAGGCCCTGTGCTAGGGGTTTGCATCCACTATTTCATTTATCACTGCAACCTTATTTTTAAAATAAATTTTTTAAATTATAAAATAGGAGGAAAAGTGCAAGTGTGCTGGGCCAAATCAGTGAGTAATGTTCAAGATAAGTGACTAATATTCGTTCATTTATTCATTCAAGTAAGGTTTCCTTACTTGAAGACCACCTTGCACAAGGCTTTGTGCTGGGCATGGGGGCATAAGGACTGATGAATTTAGAGACTGTCCCTAATCTGCCAGCATTACTGTTTGATCAAGCTAATAAATTGAATCTCAGAGAGGGTGATGTTTAGGAACCTGAGTTTCAGACTTAGGTCCTGGCTCCATCTCCCACTCTCCGCACCCCCATAACCCCCCACAGTCACCGTGTGACCTTGGGCAAATGGCTTCTCCTCTTTGGCCCTGTTTCCTCATCTGAAAAAAAAAAAAAAAGAAATAAGCACAGTCGCTACCTCTGAGGATTATTGTTAGGATTAAATGAGAGAAGGCACAAAATGTGCTTAGAATAGTGCCTGATGCAAAGAATGAGCTTATTGAATGTTATTAGCCTCCCCATCCCAGTTGGTTTTCAAGGTAGGTACGTACAAGGTATGTGGGCATTTTCTTAGAAATACGAATTTATAAATGTTGAGCAGGTTCCCAGGCTCCTCCATGAACCTCTACTTTACAGCTGTCACTGCAGTTTATAGAAACACCCTCCTTTTCCACCATCTGCGTTTGTGCATTAGTGGCAAGGCTCAAGGAGGAAGTCAGGCTGTTCTTTGTAGGTCAAGCCTTTGCAAACCTAGAGTTTGTCATATTCTGCCTGGTAATCCGAGTCCCAGCCCAGGCCAAGCTGCATCTTGCCTTTGCCTCTCTGCTGCCCCCTTGAGGCTGCTTTGGCATTGAAGGCGTTAGGTCTGTTCGGCTTGAATGTAGAGTTGCCTGGGGAGGGGAAATGCATTCATTGTATTTGAGTGGATGAGCCACAGAGTAATTGCAAACTTAAAAATTTGCCTCTGGTACCTTTCAGGAGAACTGTTTGGCAGAGCGTTTCAGTTGACTAAAGAATGTGCCAATTGACCAAGCAACCCTGTTCTTTTCTTAAGGAAATGAACACTTAGTGAATTAAGTGAACATTTAGTTCTAAGCCTCTGTATTGCACATCCATCTAGACCAGCTATTTTCAACCAGTGTGCTGCGGTTAAAACATGAATACCTGACCATTTAGTCAGGGGTACTGACCTCTTTTCCCTTTGATTGCCAAGTTGGGGAAAAAAAGAAAGAAGACAGCAGCCAACACAACTATAGCCATTGGTGTGAATGAATCAAAATTATACCTATTTTTCTCGTGAGATTGGCAAAAAATATGTTTTTTGGTGTGCCACAGAATTTTAGGAATTAGTTTATGTGTGCCATGAGATGAAAAAGGTTGAAAATGGGTGATCTAGACATTCGTTCAATAGATATGTGACACCATTGGGTGCCCGGCCATTGAGGATCTGGCAGCAATGTAGCACATGGTTTCTGGCTAAAGGGTCTCATAGCCCAGGGGCAAAAAATAAACAAGGGCGGCCGATGAAATACGGTCACAAATTCTTTGACCTTCTCTTGAATATAAGCAGGCTTGTGATTGGCTGGTCAATAAAATGACATGGTGCCATTTTCCTGGTCCAAGCCTTGAGCAAATATCAGCTTTCACCTTCCATCTGCTGAAACACTCTCAGCCCTGAGCTGTTGTGTATGAAGTCTGACCAAGTAGAGATCATGAAGACCTCATGTTCATATGCGGGACAAGAGTCCCAGATGAGCCCAGCCTTCAAGCCATCACTGCCACTGTCCTGAACCCTCCAGACTGACCCATGTACCAGCTGAGTACACGAAGCGACCTCAGCTGATGTTGAAACAGGGTAGTAAGAAGCTTGGAAAATTCCTTGGCAAGTGGAACAGGGAAACTGAGACAGACAGCTGAACAAACTGGCCAAGCAATTTACAACCAGAAACAGATGGTCACTCCCCTGGGGAAAACATCTAGGCCTCCGTTGTATTTCAGCTCCAGGCCCAGAAAAGCAGCAAAAGCCAGTGGGTGACACCAGGACCAACTGCAATGAACAATAACCTCTGCCCTGTCACTGCCATTCAGTGGAGACCACAGCCTTGAAAAAGCACATCTAGAAAACTGATCAATATTCTACTGAAACCCTCCCCTGAGACCTCCCCTAGGAGCCTGCAAGAAAGAGATAAAAGTGTCAAGACAAAGGACCTTTGGGGACTTCCCCAAGTACACAGGATGGTGACGGAGCTGAGACCAGGTCCCCCAGCCCAGCCCCTGGTATGCACGTGACTTGCACATTACATACCACCCACCCTTGCCCTCAGCCCAATAAAGGCCTAGGGGGCAGGTCTGATGCCCTCAATCTCTCACTGACAAAGTAATCCTGGGACATACGGAAGGCCAGTTCACGCTTGATCATTTATTTTAAGATTTGCACGAAGATGAGACGCGGCATAGATATACAGAAGAATGATGAGAACACAGGTCGCCTTGACTTGCCGTGCGAGCGCCTGCTTGGATGAAGACTTATAGGCCATCTTGCTTGTCCTATTGATCTGGAACCTAGTGCTAATGGGCTCCTTCGTGGCCCTAAAGCCGCAGCCTCCTTTTCTCTTGCTGGCATCCTTGTCCCCAACCACGAGGCACAGGATGATGGAGGCTGGTGTGAGCCTGCTCAGGGTGGCCGGGTCAGGTCCAGGGAAGCGCTGGCTAAAAGGGACAGTGGTGGCTGGAAGGATGGTGGTAACTGCATCCAGGTCATTGGAGGTCGCCCCACATAGCCTGGCCCATTCCAGGAGTTGAAGGCCACTGCCCCGGATGGCCTGGGCCACCCATCCCAGGGCCACCCACAGCTTATCTAGGCAACGAACCAGCAGAGACACAGTCACTTGTTGCAGAACAGCCCATAGCAACTGCTCCAAGGCCTTGCTGTTCTCTTGGCGGAAGCTGACGAGGCTGTAGTAGGCCCACTGGGCCATGGAGAGCAGGACCAGGCCGACCTCCCACCGCAGGAGCCTCAGGATGCTGCGACGGGCCCCGCGGATCAGGGTGGCGAGCAGCTGAAGGCCCCAGGCCCAGGCGGTGATCAGTGGCTGCCACAAGGCCTGTCGGAGGGGTAGCAGCACCTCTATGTACAGCTTCCGGGCCAGGATGAGGGGGAGCCCACCGCCCAGCTGCAGGTTGCTGCACCACAGAATGCAGAGGCCCAGCAAATAGCCTGAGAGGCTGTGGGACGCCATGCTTGCCATGGCCGCCTGCAGCCCCAGCAGCGGCGCATAGAATCTCACCACCCCGGGGCCGAGCAGGAGCAGGAGCAGGAGCCGCCAGGCGCCCCGGGCCAGCTGGCTGCTCTTCTGAGGGGCATCTCTCCAGCAGCTGGTGGTGGAGGAGCTGGGGGTGGGGTCCTTCATGACCCAGAAGCTCTGTGTCCAGGCTCCTGCCCTGGGGACATGGGACTGTGCTCATGCCACAAGCTCTTATTATCTGACCTTCTGGCCCAAATGCCCTGTCAACTGGGTCAGGTGGTTTTGCAACAATCAATGACAGCACAAAAGATCCTAATGTGAGCTCATGTCAAAGAGGGGGCCATTATTGCTTCAACGGGCCAGGGAAGCATCTTTTGAAAGTGAAACTGCGGTGTTGTAGTTGGGGCTTACTGTGTCCATGCCCCCGTCTGACCGGTGTGAACAAGCTTTCTCCGTGCCAGGACACGCGTTGGGAGGACATGCAGTGTCCACTGACCGGAAGCTTCCAGTCTGATAAGGGAGATGAATGTCAAAATACCCTCAGGCCTAAAGCTGCCTCACTCAGCTCCTCTTTTGCCCACCTCCCCGTTTCGCTCCTCCTCATGTCCTCCTAGCCTTCACCGCGGTTAGACCACACCTTGGGCTTTACCTGGCAGCAGAAAACATCTGACCTTCAGGTATTTGAGCAAAACCTTGGAACCCTTTTCTGCTTTTGTAAACAAAATCTATCTGTTTCTTTCCAGACTCTGGATTTTGTCTTTGGATTATACCAGCCATCAAGGATCGGGTAACCAAGCCCCTTGTTTCAGCTCCTTGTAAACAGCTCACCGAGATCAGATCGCCGAGGAGCCACGGGTTCGCCGGGCCGCACTGAGTGTGCACAGCCACTTGTGTGTTCCCTGCAGGAGGATGTTCAGGGCCTCGCCAGTGGCATCCCACTCTGGCCCCTTTAGGAGAAACTTGTCTTCCCAGAGAAGTTTGTTTCAAGTCTTATTTCAGGCACAGCGAACTCCTGGCCACTGGTCTGTTTGTATCATGTGCGTATTATAAGTCATCTTACTCGTCATAGTCATCGTTTTCACCTGGCCTCACAGAGGCTCGGAACCAAATGGGAGGACTACTCTGGCATAACCAGAGTTCTACGGTGTGGGTTTGGGTGTGATTCTTCTCTGGCTTCATCTTATTTCCCTTCCCTCACTTGCTTACTTTTTTAGTGATATGTAGTCTTAGACATATGCCTGGAAGGAGACAAGATACAGTTACCCCCGTAAATGAACCCAAACCCACATATATAAATTAATCTCTCCCTTCTAAAAGTAACACTACTTATCCAATATTCCAAAATGGATATCCTGACTTGGACCTTTCCTGCGTCTTCTCTGCACCCCCAGCGACTCATACGAACAGTTGCCAGATTCTGTCCAACCTAAATATCTCCTGATTCTGCTTCTTTAAGTCCACCTTCAGTGCCCCTTGTCAGGTCACCCACCGTGAGGGCTTGCATGGGATAGTGAGAGCCCTTTCTGCTCCATCCCCACCCCCTGGCTGGCCTCTCCTAATTCAGTGGGTCCTTTAGTATCATCCTTGGCAGAGCAGACTCAGTATTCATTTGCTGAATGAATAAATCCCTTATTTGACAAATGGGGAAACTGAAGCCACAGGCAATATGCCAGTGAGCTATATACACAACTGGTATGTCAGTGTCGGTCTATCGATGCCGTCCTTTTTAGTGACTGCAGAGAGGGAATTCCTTTTGGGAATAGTTTGTCCAGGGCCTCCAGTGACATTGTTTGTTAAACCTTTTTTCATCCTTATTACAATTTTAAATAGTCTTATTTGGTCAGTGGCCCGGCGCCAAGCAGGTTCAGTAAGAATTTCATGTTGAGTGAATGAGTGCCTGAGGACCCAGAGCTCCTTTTCCAGCGAGGGAGCTACGGAACCCTGAGTCTAATGTCGTGGAAAACCCAATCTACAATCAGTCAGCCTTGAGCTCTGTCCTTCATGAATTGAGTGATTTTTGTGAAATTATTTCCTCTTGGCCTAAAACTTAGTTTTCTTGCTGAGAGAGGGCTATATGGGTCATAATCCCTTTTCCACAATTCTGATACGAAAGACTTCCTCAGTCATTTGGTGACAAAAACCAAATTGACCTGATTTTTTTAGGCAGCTAAGTCAGCCTTGAACTGATTGGTGGGAGGCTATTTATATTTATCCCACTTCGTGTGAATATTCATGTTTCTTTATAGAATTAATGTATTTCATCAAAGAGTTTTGGGAGGATTACATAATATACAGTATGTTCACCATATTGCACAATATTATCTAAAACGTGAAAAGTGCTGAGTTTGGAAACACCTCTGGCCCCAAAGATTTCCAGTAAGGGACTGAGGACCTGACAGCGCTGCCCCTCAGGGGTGGCATGAGCATTAAATGAATGTTTTTTAACAACAGTGTGAGCAACTGCGTGGCCAGCCCAGAATCAAAGAACATGTCCGGGTGGAGTGGAGGTGGAAAGTGGCGTGAGGGGAGGGAGTTGGTGTGCTTGCCCTCAACAAAGACACACGGGCAGCCAGTTAGTTCAGAGTCCTGGGGAGCAGCCTCAGGAGTTAATGCTTTATCCTTAGTGGGTGGGGATGGGGACAAGGGAAGTAACACGATGAAATTTGATTCTCAGAAAGATTTGGAGCCTCAAGCCTGGGAGAGCAGTTAGAAGCCTCCCGAGTCACCTGGGTGCCCAGGCAGACGTCCTAGAGGGTTCTTCATGCACAGGGTCTGGAAGGTGCGGGAGACCAGCTTCTGTGAGGCTGGGCAGCTGGACTCATGATCCCGGGTCATGAGGCATTTTTACAGCCCCAAGACACCGTCAGAGCCAAGCCACTGCACCTGCACAGTGGGCAGAATAGAAGATGGGGTTTGAAGGAGGGGTGCCCGAAATGAAGACACATTAAAGGCAAGTTCGTGTCGTGGAAGCAACTCTGGGTTGGAAGGCAGAAAACCAGGGGTTCAGCCTTTTCTCTCCAACTTAGAGCAGGTGAGAGCAGTGCAACTTGTTCCAGCTCAGCGTGCCTGCAAAATGGCAACAATGCTGACCTGCTGTGAGGGACAGAAATAGGTGGCATGTGTGACACTGCTTTGGAATGAATCCCACAGCTGGGTTATTCAATTCCAGAGGTGGCTGCATTTCATACGCAAAGATGCGACGCAGCCATCTTCCTTCAGTGGAACTGCATGTTTCACAAAACTGGCTTCCGCCCATCGCTGTAGGTTTATTACACTCCAGCCCTTTGCCAGCTTTTCCGAGGCTTTTCACTACGTTTGAACCCAGCCGCCCGCAGCGGGGGTCTAACTCCTGCCTCCGAAACTCACATCTAGCTGCGAACGAAAGCTGGGCGAGAACGAGCGTGCGTGGAAATGGCAACCGGTAGCCGTCCCCCGACCCGACGTCCGTCGCGGGTGCGCGCTCGCACGCCGGAAGGGGCGGAGCCAGGCTGGACTTTATATATTGTGCGCCGAGCGCTGACCGACCTCTACCGGCGGCGTTTGGCGGCAGAATGGTACGTACTGTTATGGCGTCTTCCTCCTTGTCCGTGGCGGTGGCGTGGCTGAGTCCGCGGCGCATCGCCGCCATCTCGGCTCGCCCAGCGACGGGGGCCTGCTCTGCGAGCACAGGGTGTTCGGCGCGATCCGCCGTCAGGCCTATTTTCGGGAAACGCCCGAGGCCTGTGGTTGGCCTTGGGCCTAGGGGCCGGCCCGCGAAAGGCGTCGCGGCGGGTGCTGGGCTGGGGGTCCTGGGCCTGACAGTTCTCAAGCCATGGATGGTTTCTGGGTCTCGACCTCGTCATTTTAGTGCTACTCGAAAGGGGAGTGCGTGAGCACTTGGGCCAGCAGGGCCCGGAGTGGGGGCGCTTGGCACTATAATTCTGGCTAATGTGGGAGGTGCAGACATCGAAGCAGTAGGCAGGAGGGCAGTTTGCAGCGGGTGGTGTTGAGTCTGCATTCTGAAACGTCTGGAACGGTTTGGGCAGGACAACTCCTTAGGCCTCTAGAATTCCCGGGAACCACAGATGATGAACCTCTTGACGGGCGGACAGAGACACTGTGCTGATTGTCATGTTCTGATTGGGCTCTGTCGGGTTCTAGTGGCCTACGTATCATTGTAACGAGGGGAGCCTTTAGTACCGTCATCGGCTGCCCATCCATTTGTCCCATAAGTCCCTTTTGTGATCAGACTCCATCTGACTCAATCACAAAGTCATCTCTTCAGTTATTTTAAAATCTGATGTGGTTTAGAATAAAATGGGGGTGGTTTGTCTTGCTAAATTATAAAATGAATATTTGACATAAAAGGTCAACTTGGTTGAATGCAGCTTCAGGATGTGTGACCCTGCACGAAGCCAACCTAACTCAGCGTTTACTTGAGTTGCTGGGTCTCTGGTTTGATTCAGCCTCACTGAGAACCCCCCATAGGACCACCTAGACAGCAGGTCCAGGCTCAGGTACTAACGTCGGTCCTCTTCTCCTAGTCTCATAGGAAGTTCTCCGCTCCCAGGCACGGTTCCCTGGGCTTCTTGCCTCGGAAGCGCAGCAGCCGGCACCGCGGGAAGGTGAAGAGCTTCCCTAAGGATGACCCCTCCAAGCCTGTCCACCTCACAGCCTTCCTGGGCTACAAGGCTGGCATGACCCACATTGTGCGGGAGGTCGACAGGCCAGGATCCAGTACGTACACGCCGTGGCCTTCAGACTGGTGGAGGGTTGGGACTTGGTGAGGGTGGGGGCAGGCCCAAGATCAACAGAATATCTTGATAGCAGGATGGAGGTTAATATATTTAAGGACTGGTTAATGTCCCCAGGTGCACGAGGTGGGTGAACTTGTCAAGAGCCATGGCATTGGTTTTAGGGGGCATGGTATGCTAACCAGAAAGCTTGAATACTGCCATGTGCCTGGGTAGTGAGGGTCAAAGTAGAAATGTCACCAAGTAAGAGGACACAGCCCTGGTTACTTAACTGTAGTAGCTATTAATATTAGGTAGTAGCTATCTGAGTGTACAGCTATTAATGAAGTCCCATTATGCTTCTTTAGTGTACATATATTACCTAGGTGATAAGGAATTTGTCTGTGATAGTGATTTTTGTGGTAGACAAGAACTGTTAATTTGCTTTCCAAGGGTGCTGTATTTTTTATTTGATTAAAAAAGTCAGTGTATGCAGAGAAGTGTGCAGTAAGGGCAGCCTGCAGGAGTCCATGCCTTTGACGTGGGCCCAGCTTCGGGACCTTCCCTTTTATCGGAAGCAAGTTGCCCTCTTGGCCTACACAAGCATCTCACATTTTGTATGAATGCTAACCCCTGGCTGGGGATCCTGGTTAGCCACTCAAGTCCGATTCCTGCTTTCTTTGCAGAGGTGAACAAGAAAGAAGTAGTGGAGGCTGTGACCATTGTGGAGACACCGCCCATGGTGATCGTGGGCATTGTGGGCTACGTGGAGACCCCTCGAGGCCTCCGCACCTTCAAAACCATCTTTGCTGAGCATATCAGTGACGAATGCAAGAGGCGCTTCTATAAGAACTGGTAAGGGAGGGGGACGCTGTGCACACCCCTCCTAGGTTAGGGGCTGGAGGGAAGAGCCTCCTATGCGGGGCTCTCAGTCCCAGTGGGGGCGGAGCTGCGCTGGTGGTGGGGTAGCTGCCAGGGGAGCAGAACAGTTCCTGGGGACGGAGCTTGAGCGCTGGTGGTTAACTGAGCTGGGAGGGGCACCCGAGAGTTCCTTTCCTGTCCAGCTTAGTGGGTGTTGGCCGAGGACTTGGATTTCAGGATTTTCTTGGTTGCTGGAAAGCATCACGAGTCCCATTAGAAACCAAGAGGCAGCAGTGCAATGTTAACCCCTCCAGTCCTTCTGCCTGGGCACGTGACCCGGGTAATGGCTAGACCGGAGCTAGAAATAGTGTGTGCGCGAATGTTTGTGACTTTAATTAATCTTGTGGACCTCTGCTCAGCTCCGCTCGGCTTTGCCCGATGAGCTCCATCCAGGCTCCGCTTGCCGGTGGAAAAGGCTCCTTAGAAGCCGGCAATGAGCCCCATCCCCACGTGGTGCCCGTGTGCCTTCCTCTCGCCCCTTGGAGGGGCGATGAAGGCTGGCGCCCGGCCCCCTCCCCAACTCTGCTCTGCTCCTGAAGGCACAAATCTAAGAAGAAGGCCTTCACCAAGTACTGCAAGAAGTGGCAGGATGACGACGGCAAGAAGCAGCTGGAGAAGGACTTCAGCAGCATGAAGAAGTACTGCCAGGTCATCCGCGTCATCGCCCACACCCAGGTGAGCGCCTGCCAGCGTGCCCAGCGACGCCGCTGGCCTGCTACTTCCTGCCATGGAGGTGACGAGCGTGTGGGGCTTTGAATGTCAGCTGCCATCTATTTGGGAGCTTCTGTTATTTTCTGAGTCCTCAGCGCCATCTGATTCCGTGCCAACTTCGGGTTTTAAGGGGTCGGTTACACTGGTTCCGGTTCCTCAAACTTCCTAGGGGAGGAGATAGGCTGGGGAGCAGCCTGGGGTCGTTAGAAGTTGCACAGCAGCACATTCCAGATACTGCCTGCCCTTGAAGCCCGGGTTCCTGGGGCCAAGTTAAAGCCCATTGGCCCGTGACCTGGGCAAGGCCTCCAGTGCCCCCACTTGTGGGTTGGTCTCACTTGCCAGCAGAGGGCACTGCGTCCCCATTGGCTCTTATTTACGGAAACCATACCCCATTTTAAGGAAAACTGGTTGAAGAAATTGGTAACTTACAACACTCTCAGGTGCCTGGCTGAAAATAGCGTTAGCATTCCACACCTGGCCCAAGGAGCCCTCGGCTGGCTTGGGTAGAGGGAGCGCCTCCTTTGCGGTCTGGGCCACAGTCCTGGCCGTGCGCCCTGACTCATGAGTGCTTAGTGGCCCTGTGTAGTTAGTGATGACCATGTTAGCACAGATTTGTAGCGGTCCACCACTGAAGAAAGTTCAGTAGGATGACACTGGGCACCTCGTAACTGAAAGCTTTAGGCTTGAACTTGTTTCCTAGCCTAACTCTTGGAGCTGATGCTGTTGGCTGCAGTGCTATTCTGCTCTCCAAAGTATGTATCTTGTTGGTAGCTAATAGAGCACTGGTGGTGGCCGAGGTGGCCAAGGGCAGTATCCCAGAGGCACCGGCCAGAGGACAGCAATCAGGAGCATTCGGCTCGTCGGTGCTCCAGGATCTGCTTAGGCTGACCTGTCTCAGTGTGGGCACCGTGTGTCTGAGAGGTTGGTTCGTCAGAGTTGAAAGGGGATTGTGCCCAGTGGGGAGTAAGGATGCAGGAAGGTTGTTTTCTCCGTGGGAGGCGCACTCAAAGCTCAGGGAGCTGAGCTGCAGCCTCTTCCTCCTAGATGCGCCTGCTTCCTCTGCGCCAGAAGAAGGCCCACCTCATGGAGATCCAGGTGAATGGAGGCACGGTGGCCGAAAAGCTGGACTGGGCCCGTGAGAGGCTGGAGCAGCAGGTCCCTGTGAACCAGGTGTTTGGACAGGATGAGATGATCGATGTCATTGGGGTGACCAAGGGCAAAGGCTACAAAGGTGAGCTTTGCAGTGGCCCAGATGGCTGTGGTTCAGCTCTTGGGAGGAGGGGTCTCCGACCCAGCTGTTCGGTGATGAGGCTCTGGAATGAGCGCTGGGCACAGCGCCCGAGTCACACTGCGGAAACATTCCTTGCTGCCTTCCTTCTGAGAATAGCCCTGTGGTCGGGTGGCTGGGGGCCTGGAGGTGTGACTTTGGGCTGAGGGATAATTCTCCAAGGTCTGTCCTTTGCACATTTAGCACTCAAGATGCGTATGTAGATGAGCATCCAATTTGGCATGATGTGGCCATTAGAGGGTAGCATGCAGGTTAAACCCTCCCTGTCCTCGGAACTTGCCCAGTCATTGGCTGTTTGTGCAGAAACCATTGAACTCAAGTGGGCCTTCCTAGAAGGAGAAGGCCAATGGCATCAGTGCCAAGCACCCCAGTAACAGAATGTGTCTATTCCAGGGGTCACCAGCCGCTGGCACACCAAGAAGCTGCCCCGCAAGACCCACCGAGGGCTGCGCAAGGTTGCCTGTATTGGGGCGTGGCATCCTGCTCGGGTGGCCTTCTCTGTGGCCAGGGCTGGGCAGAAAGGCTACCATCACCGCACTGAGATCAACAAGAAGGTGAGGTGCTCGGAGGAGGGCTCATGTGGAGTTCAACCCCAGGAGGGGAACGGGCATCCCGTAACTCGGGGTGAGGGGTTCCAATCCCTGTCACACAGCTTCATTGGTGGAGCTTCTGGGCAGCATATGGATTTAGTTCCTTGTGTGATGGGCATAGTTCTGGCTCTTAGGTGATGTGATTTGGAAGGTGCCATCCTCAAAGAGGGTTCTGGCGCCCCTGGTCCTTGGTGTGACTAATAATAAGAACCTTGTCCTTCCTGTGAAGTGGTGTTGGAGAGGCCACTGTGCACTCTCTCAGATAGCAGCATCTTTAGAGCCAGCCCAGGCTGCTTGTCTTCTAAACCTGGGGCTGAGGTCAGAGCTGCTTTCCCAGAGTCCTTTGCAGGCTATCCCACTGCTTGGGGGGGCGGGTTTACTTGTCCCTAATGGCAGTCCTACTCCACTCTCTAGGGGATAAGAGCAGCGGGTATGTGAGCCTCCTGTCCTGTTTCTTCTTTCCCAAGTGTTCATATTCATGCCCTTGTTCAGATCTACAAGATTGGCCAGGGCTACCTCATCAAGGACGGCAAGCTGATCAAGAACAACGCCTCCACTGATTACGACCTGTCTGACAAGAGCATCAACCCTCTGGTGAGTGATGGGGACGCTGTCTTCTCAAAGACTGGCGTTACGGGGTTGGCGCTGTGTGCTCTTGGGTCCCCGCTGATTTGTGAGGCTGTTTGCAGTCATTTAACTGGTCCTTGCACAGCAGCCGGCTCTCTGCTTCCTGTAAATGGCCGTCGTCAGTCCATGGATTGGGGTGGGCTGGTGAGAAGTGGGGTTTCTGGCCCAGCGGTTAAATGATGAGGCTCTAGAATGAGCACTGGGCACAGCGCTGGAGTCAGACTGGCGTCGGGGGCTGTGGACCGCCACACCTGAAGGGGTCCTGCGTGTCTGCCATACTTCTAGCCCCATGCTTAGCTCTGCTCACCTGACGCGACGGCCTTGCTTTTTTCCAGGGTGGCTTTGTCCACTACGGTGAAGTGACCAATGACTTTGTCATGCTGAAAGGCTGTGTAGTGGGAACCAAGAAGCGAGTGCTCACCCTCCGCAAGGTGAGACCGGGGGCCAAGGGTGGCGCTGCACCAGGAACCTGGGGAGGAAGGGAGAGAGACACAGAGCGCAGACAGGCTGAGCTTTGTTAGGGAGGGGAGTTCAAAGGAAAAGGGGGGTTTGCTGCTCCTTGAACGTGGCCTTTGAAGTCTTGGGAGGAGGAAATTCCAGTCTGGCCCAGCTGTTTGTTTCTGTTTTCACGTGTGGAGGCCAGTTCCTTGGATACAGCCAGCCAGATGATAAGAGCTGATGCTCTGCCCTCTCGGGCCTGTGAAATAAGAGGGTGCGGAGCAAGCCCTGCTCTTCAGAACTAACCTTCGCTCCTCTCGGCCTGCAGTCCTTGCTGGTGCAGACCAAACGGCGGGCCCTGGAGAAGATTGACCTTAAGTTTATCGACACCACCTCCAAGTTTGGCCACGGCCGCTTCCAGACGATGGAAGAGAAGAAAGCCTTCATGGTGAGTGCCTGCCCGGCTGCCCTTGGGCTGACTCCCCTTGTCAGCTACCTTTCTGCCCATCTGGGGCTGGGGAGACTGGCCCGGATTCTGACCCCCTGGGCTGTAGCTTTTCCTTACTGACAGCCTGCCTTCCTCCACCGCTAACCTTGTCCCCTGCACCCCCCCCCCCCCGCCCCCAGGGACCACTTAAGAAAGACCGGATCGCAAAGGAAGAAGGAGCCTAACGTCAGGAGCAGATCGTGCAGCTGGTGGGATCTCAATAAAAATAGTTTTCCAGTGATACCTGCCTCTTGTCTTGACCTTCCCCAGTCTTGGTGGCTTGCACATGCCCTGTGGTCCCAGAGGCGTGCTGCCTCTGACCTTGTAGCCTCTTAGCCCCATTTGGTCTCTTTTCTCTACCAGCGGCCTGACCTGCCGCCAGCCCGGGCATCAGGCGGGCTGAAGCTGCACCTGGGACTGCCCTGGGCTTTTGAAGGCGGCCTGGGGCAATGAGCTCTGTGCAGAATGTTTGTCACCGAGGTGAGGCCGCTGGGGCTCAGCTGCAGAAGTGTTTGCACAGCTTGCGTGGCAGCTGTGGAGATCGGAAGGAGGCGACGAGGACGGGCTGTTCCCGCATGCTTTTGGTTGCTGACGGGCACGGCAGGCCAGGGCCTGGGTCTGCTGAGTGCACAAATGTGCCTTGATTGATCCATGCAAGGGCAGGTTCCAGGCAAGGCTTGTTGAGGCTCTGTGACCTGCAGCCCAGTGTTGGCGCTGGGAGGGGACAGGGTGTCCCTTGAGGAAGGCCTGTGCTGCACCTGGGACCAGGAGGAAGCACCTCGTTGTTGCTGCGGGGTTGTTGGACTTACCTTGACCTGGGTCTGCCCCAGGGGGCTGGGTTCAGCCCTTCCCAACCCGCACTCCCTGTGCTGATCATGTTGAGCACCTGCTATTGACCAGGCTTGACCCCAGAAAGAGTTTTGCCTTCTCTGAGCTCAAACAGTCAGCAGATGATCTCAGACCTACTAGTCAGGGACCGACTTGGCCTCAGTGGACCTGGCACAGCTGGCGCACCAAGACTGCTTACCACATCTGGCCGCAGCGTGTTCTGCTTCAGTGAGCTGAGCGCTGAGACCACAGCTGGGACACCGCTGGCCTGTTCCGCAGTCTGGCTGCTGGCAGGGCCTCCCCCTGTTGCTGGGCTCTGGTTCCCTCTGAACCTTTGATCAGGAAGGGCAGATGGGCTGAGATCCAATGGTGCTGGAGGGTACTTAACAGAGGTGGTTCATGTTGTCCCTCTGGTTCCTGCTGAGTGGCACTTGGGTGAACAAAGGCCTTAGAAGGTAGGGTAAGGTCTATAGGAGGTTGGTTGTGGGTCCTGAGGCAGAGTGAGGCTTGGAGAGCACTGAGCGGCCGGGGACTCCCATGTGTCTTTCCGGAGCCCCTTCTGAACTGGACTAATGTAGAAGACCCTCATCCCCACCCTACGCCACCTCCAACCCTGAGTGCCTTCCATGTGCCCAGGGTTCAGCGCCCAGAGCAGCTGGAGCTGCACTTCAGGATGGAGCCACCAGGGGGGGAGAGTGGGTGGCCACTGGTCTGGGCCTGACCCTCAGCCCTGCGGCATGGCCTCCCCATCAGCTTTAAAGGGGCAGAGTCCCTTCTCAGGGTGGCCTCTGCTCACGCTTGGGAGTCAAGCCCACAGGCAGAGCCAGGCATGGGGTCCACCCAATCCAGTCAGGTCCTGGGCAGCCCCACCTAATCCCCTCGTTCATCCCAGTGGGCCCCCCTCCCACCGTAGGCCGGCCCTGGAGCCCAGCACCCACCTAGCTCGGGTAGGAAGGGCGTTGCTGGCTGGCCGTCCCGGCCAGTGCTCTGTCCCATCGTGGGTACAGGTAGCCGGGGTGGTTCTGGGGACATAGGGTCTGGAGAACCGCACTCCCCCTAGCCCCTGCCCCAGTGCGTGTGCTCCCAAGCTGAGAACGGGCACACGTGCAACATGCATCCAGCACCGCAGCTGCACTTCCAGGTAACAGGCTGTCACCACACGTGTCCCCACACACGTGACGCATGCATAGAAAGTCACTTTCAGGGGCAGGCTTGCTTGACCTGGGGGCTTAGCCCCTGGCTGCTGACCATCCCCAGCCCCCAACCTCATTTCTCCCCTGCGTCTGGCTGGCAAGTGACCTTGGGCACATCCCAGCACAGTTCCAAGCCTCAGTAACATCTGGTGGTGACTCGCTACCTCAGTGGTGGTTGTGGCCCCAAATGAGGAAGACCCAGTGGGTGCACAGAATGGCTGGAGTTACTGTGGTTAAGATGAACAAGAATGGTTTCCTGGGGGCTGTGAAAGCTCAACGTGCATGTGCACGCGCGTGTGTGAGAGAGGGGGCCCGCTGGAGGAACCCTGAGTGCTACTGTGGACGCGGCCGTCCTCCAGGGGCTGGGAGGAAGCAGCGGCAAGCTCAGAGCCCTCCCTCGAGCAGAGAATCTAGCTGAGGAGAGTGGACTGTAAACACTGGTAAACAAGACCGTAGTTTATTACGTAGTTTATTAGAAGTAATGAATGCTGTCAAGACATAGAGCAGGCCACTGGGGTGCAGTGGTGGGGCAGGGGCGGCCTCTGAGACCTGGGAGTGAAGGATCCAGCTACGGGGAGAGTAACCCGAGCAGCAGGAACAGCAGGCGCCAAGGCCCTGCGGTGGGAAAAAGGCCCCTGGGCTCAGATTCCTGGGAGCCGCTCAGTGAAGGAGGGACTGGGTCCCTTCCGCCTCCCTAGCCAGGGCCTGGCCTGCAGTAGGTGCTCAGTAGAGGCTGTTGCCTCCGTCCCTGGGACTCACCCATGCTTGCACGTGTGTCTGGTGTCGCAGCCCAGGGTCCCCGGGCATCTCTGCGGGCCGGTGGTCGGAGGGCCTGTGCCTGTGCGTGTCACAGAGGGTGCGCCTTGGAGTGCTTGCTGGCATGTGCTTCCTGTCACCAGAGCCCCCAGACAGGCCTCGCTGGAATCCTGTGGTGACAGAACAAAGAGTCTCATTCCATTCCTCCTGGAAAGAAAAAAAAAATAACCTGCTGGGAATGTCTGAGCAAGTGGGAACAAGGAGGTGGTGGGAGCCACCATCGCCTTAAAAGGCACGACAGCCTGTGACTTCGCTGAGCTCACCTGGGGATGGCCTTGGGGCAGAGGGGGGTTGGGCCGCTGGCTGCCACCTCCTGGGCTCTCCCAAAATGCTTTTCCCTGGATCTTCGCTGACAGCCTTGACAGTGGGGGCTGCCTGCTGGGCCCCCTGTTCTCCTACCTGCACCCCTTCACCCCCAGGTGCCCAGCCCCCTCCCATTGGCTCTCAGCAAGCAGCTACCTGTCTGAATCTTCCGTGGGTCCCCTGGCTTCCATGCCATGTCTCCCCGCCCAGGTCGGCACTCGAGGCCTCCAGCATCGCGCCTCCTACCACCACCAGGTCCAGACGCCTGGCCTGCTCCCGGGAGCCCCAGCAGCTTCCCCCGCCCTTTCTGCACTGGGCTCAGAAGCAGGGCTGGATGGCTGACGGGAGAGGGGCCGGACCCGAACCTCGCCAGAGGCAGGAGAGGAACACCTGTGAGCCCAGGCGTGAGGGAGGAGGCATCCAGGGACCTTGCAGGGCCTGTTAACGCATCAGAACTGTTAAAATGTCAGAAGTGCTACCATGTGCTGGGCATCCATCAGTCCCCCTGGGCCCAGAAGCATTACGCTGCCCAGGGCTCCACTCCGCCAGCCCCCGGCCCACAGTAGCCAGCGCTGCCAACAGCTCAGGTGCCCCCAGGGGGCAGCAGCCAAGCCCGTAGGTGGTAGTAATTGTGAAGACCTTACCCCTTTCTGGCATGTCCTAAGTACTGGCCTCTACATAACCTTGGTCTTCTGCCCCTCGAGGCAGCTTTTATTATTGCCCCATTTCACAGATAAGAAACTGAGGCTCAGAAAGGATGAGCAACTTGCCCTGGGGCACACAGTGTGCTACCGGTAGGGCTGGAATTTGAGCCTGGCACCCTTCACCCTGACCCTCCTTATGCCATTGGGATCTGCAAAGCACATTTTAGCTCAAGGGAGAAGGAGTGGGGTGCTTATTTGTTGAGCCCCTACTGTGTGCCAAGGCTCTTGCTAGCCCCTTTCAGAGTTCCTTCATCTGCTCCGTACAAGCCCTGTTCCCACTTCCCGGGTGGGGGACGCGGGGGCCCAGAGAGAGTCAGAGAACCTTCTGAGGTCGCAGAGCCAGGGTATGTCCTGCCAGGTGTCTTAGATGCTACACCTCACTGAGGGGCCGTCACTGCACCCGGAGGCTGTGAGCCGGGGCTCCTGGTACCACTCCTGCCCTCACAGTGGGGAAACGAGGCACCGAGCAACAGCCAGACTCCCCCGAGTGGTGAGGCAGGGATTCAAATCCCAGCCCTGGAACCGCAGCGTGAACCACTGCGCTGCACCACCCTCAGCTGTGGGGACCCAGAGACTCCCGTGAAATGGGGAGATGCCACTTCCCAGCAGCCACTGGCCCCCCGCCCCCCACCGTTCCTTTGCCTCAGTCCCTTGCAGACTCACATGGTCCCCTGCTTGCTTGATAGACAGGGCGGCAGGGGGTGCTGCCTTGGGGCTGCTGGCAGACAGGTGGGGGTGGCGAGCAGGCCCCAGCCAGCCCCACCCGCCTCGGTCCCTGCCCCACAGCTGGCCTCCAGGTCACTGGCTTCATGTGACTTTGGAGAAGTGGCGCCTTCGAGCCCTAGCCCCACAAAGCTGGGCCGAGAAAAGTGCTGTGAGAGAAGGTGCTAAAGATAGCCGTCGAGCTGACTTCCTCATCCCCGCTGGCCACCGCCTCGTCCCCGTGGCTCCTTCGGCAGGCCCCCACCCGGCGTCTGGCCTCTCCTTGGATGGAGCCTGCTCACCCAGCCTGGGGCACAACACAGGGACCAAGGCAACGGTCATGGCACGGAGACCCACCCCCCTCTGGGCACCCCACCAGGCAGGGCTGTGCCTTCTCCTGCTCCCGCGATCCCCTTGACAGGGGTTAGGAGCATCATTGTCACCTCCGCTTTATGGGGGCGGGGACCCTGAGCACAGGGGACACCTGTGCATTCACACAGCAGGGCCGCTGGACACACCTTGATGCCCACGCAAACACTGCTTTTCTCATCGTGGCTGGGGCCCTGAACTTGCTAGCATGGCGACACGTAGGCCCAGTGAGACATCACGCCGCCACCCATTCCTCTGTGGTCCTTCTCCTCCGTGCGGAAGTGTTGACACCAGGGAAATGGGTGACTATGTCCTGGCCTCCCCCT